TTACAAGAATTGTTATTCTTTAGAGTACTAATAAGATCTTGGAAGCTCTTTGCCTGCCAAGAACGATCTTAAAAGAGTCAGTGCACGCTCCGGTTGCAAAACCGGCACTTCGTGTCCCGCTCCTCTTATAGTCGCAAAGGTAAGCCCCTCGTATACCTCTGTCCATCCTCCTACCTGTTCACCACCACCATGTAACATCAATGGCTCTGCAAAAGAACCATATACTATACAAATATATGTGCTTGTGGTGATGGAAAAGACCTGGTTCTCAGAGTACCAAGGAGTTTTAACCGTAAGATTTAGATGGCTAAGGGAAAGTCTAGTCGCAGTCACTGGAACCACCGAGTCTGTATCGCCGCTGCATCATCAACAAAATGTGGGTGAAATGACCAAATTAACGTGTATATCACTTTTGGAGTTAGTTTCTTGGCTTACCTAAACACCAAGATTCTCAAACCAACGTCCATGAGTTCCTTGTATATAGGCAATATCGAGTTTTCAGAATCTCTCCAGTTCTTAAACATATCATTATTGCATGCGGTCCATTTATAAGGAATGGAGGTGAGATTAGCGTGCATAGCTAATAGCTTGCTGTACATCAGGACGGTTATAGTATATATATATTTATATCCATATATACGATATATAACATATATACTGTATCTAATGTTGGATTCCTACAGTTTTCTTCAATCCACAATTTATTTTTATTTTTATGCTAACTAAATAAATCAACCATGATTTCTCTGTTACAAACTAACATATAGTTGATAAATCTCACAACATAAGCGATGCCTCTCTACATATTAATTTGTGGAATGTTAGCTCCATTTAATTATTTGTCTCCATCTTGAGAAATACTTTTGAAGTTTATGATCAGTTTTTTTTTCAAGAGAATGGTCCTTGCTTCCGCCACTTTTTAGAACAGAGATGCATACGAATATGATTAAAGAAAATTCAAAAGTATCACATAAAGATACAAAAAACATAGGAATGCTTCAATAAAAGACCACAAGAACTACTTGACACACAAGGAAATATCAAACTCAAAACTGAAACAATACTAACGGTTTCTGCGCTTATTCAGACAAGCTATCTTGACCAGCCACTCCGGTTTGTATGAAGCAATGACTTGTGCAACTGCCAATCCGAACATCACTCCAAGCCCATACCCTATTGCCACTGCTTTCCAGTTCAACACTTGTTCCTCTTCTTCATATTCTTCCTCAGGCTGTTGTGTTGGTGTCGCATGACTTCCAAAGCAACTTTCTTGTAGAGGAAGACCACAAAGCCCTGCATTCCCTTCAAATGATGATTTATGTTGTCCAGTGATTTGTGTTCCTTGTGGTATTTCACCTTTGAGTTGGTTGTGAGACACATTTATGTACGCTAAAAACGAGAGGGTCCCGAGTCCATTAGGAATAGTCCCTGAGAGGTTGTTGCTTGATAGGTCTAGTGACTCGAGCTTGCCAAAATTGGCAAACGACAGAGGAATATGGCCTGTGAAGGCGTTGTTCGACAAGTTGAGTGCAATCAGTGCCTTCAGAAGACCGATAGATTCAGGAATCTGTCCTTCAAGTTTATTCCCGGAAAAATCGATGGTGGCGTAGGAAGTAATGACGTTCGCTTCCTCCATTTGTAGACCTTTGTATTGCAAATCTATATATTCCATATATGAGTAGGCAATTGTACTGTAAAACATGGTATTGTATACCATGTACAGACCTCCATCTTCATTAATGGTGACTGATGATGCTTTCGAATTCACAAAGTAACTTGGCGGCAAGCTCCCAGTAAACTTGTTATTAGATATCTCAAATATACGCAGCTCAGGAAATCCGAGAGGACCTTGATGATGAGGAGATATTGGACCATAGAATTTGTTTGAACGGAGAGTAAGGATTTGCAAATTTGGTAAAGCCTTGAGCCAGAAAGGAAATGTATCTTTGATTCTGTTGTGTTCAACACTTAGAGACTTTAGAGATGAACAATTTTGGAGAGACCTTGGAAGCTTTCCGGTTAGGCGATTATAGCCAACGCTGAGGGTCAGGAGAGAGGTACAGGCATAGAAAGTGTCTGGAATACTTCCTTCCAAGTTGTTCTTCGGAGACTCACAATCGTCAATTTACTCAGACATTTTCTAACTGGGCCGGTGAAGTTGTTGTAGCTTAGATCAAGGACAGCAAGCGACCTTCTGTTGCAGATTGAAAGAGGTATGTCTCCTCTGAAACTATTGTTCCTTGCAGAGAAGCTGATAAGAGAGTGTGGGAGATGAGGAAGAGTTCCTTTGAAATGGTTTGACTCCAAACCTAGGTACTGCACCGATGAATTTACTAAATTCTTTGCTGAACCTTGGAAACCATCGAACAAATTATCTGTAACTACCACCGATTTCAGATGAGGAAGGCTCCATAACCACTCAGGGATTTTCCCCTTGATTCTATTGCTAGACATGTCTATAACAACCAAATTCCGAAGGGTCATTAAGATATCGGGGAACTCTCTGATGTCACACTGCTGCAAGAACAACACTTCCAGGCTCAATGGTAGGTATGAATCTGAACTTAAACTGGCCGGAGATATACTGTCACCGGAGAGCTTGAGGTATAACAAAGATTTGAAGGAGGAGAAGAGGCTTAACTCAATTGGATGGCTTGTTTTTAGGAAAGAAAGGTCCAGTGTCTTGAGGTTGGTGAGCTTTGAGATTGGCTCTAGGATTTTTCCTTCAAAATGGTTAAGCCCAAGGTGCATTACCTCGAGACTAGATGAGGAAGAGGAATTAGGAACTTCAATAGAACCGTTGAAATTGTTTTCACTGAGATTAAGATATGATAAGAAAGGCATAGTGAAGACGGAAGAAGGAATGGTTCCAGAGAAGTAATTGCCAAAAAGTCCTATAATCGAGAGCTTGGTTAGATTTTGTACAAGTGGGAAACTACCAGTCAATCGGTTCATGGAAAGGTATAACTCGGTTAACTAGGTAAGGTTACTAATTGTGGTAGGGACTTGACCGACAAAGCCATTAGAGGGAAGAGATAAAGACTCTAATTTGTTGAGATTTCCTAATTCTAAAGGGAGCGAGGAGCTGAAGTTGTTATAACCTAAATTAAGAAAACGGAGTTGGTGCAACTTAAAGAGGCTACTGTTGGGATTCAGAACACCAGAAAAGTGATTATTCGTAAGTTGTAAAACTTGGAGCATGCTTAGATTCGTCAGAAGTGGGAAACTACCAATGAATTCGTTATAGGACATGTCTAAATAGGTTAGTTGGCTTAGGTTACTAAACGAGGATGGAACTTGGCCGAGGAAGCCATTTGACGAAAGAGACAAGACCTCTAACCTGTTGAGATTTCCAAATTCAGGCGGAAGTGAAGAGGAGATGAAGTTATTTCCAGAGAGATTAAGATAACGGAGGTGGTGCAGCTTGAAGAGGCTACTGTTGGGCATCAGAGTTCCAGTGAGACAGTCCCTGAGTCCCAGCTTTGTGACCGCACCTGTGGAGTTATCGCACCACACTCCATTGAAGTAGTCACTGTGGTTGCAACGGCGGGTGTCAAACTCGTTCTTGAACTGCGTAAGGGCTTGAATCTGGTGGGGACGGCAAGCAACAAGACCAACAACAGGATTTTTTAAAAAGAAGGCGAAGCCTGAAGGAGAGACACAGCAGAATAAGAACAGCAAGAGAAAATGCAAACGCATACATGATTCCGACATGGTCGTCATGAGAACTTTTGAAGAAGAATGCTTTTGGTTTAGGAAAAGAGAGAGAGAAGACTGGTATATATAGAAAATTAGTATCTGCTTTTTCATTGTAGCACAAAAAACCACTTACAAGAAGTTAGAGCTGTGTGAAGTCTTCGTATCTGGTCTTGGAGAAAAGTGTGGCTAAAAGTGGTTAAGTGCCACTCAAATCCTGTAGTAAATTGGTTTATTTTTCTAACGTATAACTTGGATTGGAATATCACATCCAGTTTGAAACTTCTCACATATATCTCTGTGATTTTATTCTCACGTGGCGTGAGCAAAGGGGGGGTGATATATAGAGAGGGACAGAGTGACTAATTAATACAAGAAGACAATGAGGTTTTTTAAGACAAAAAAAAATGTAAATACTTAAATGAACAGTCTCATATTTCTTATTTACTTACTTTGCTTCTATGAGTCCGAATTATTTTGGTTATAATTGAAGCTAGCTTTATGAAAATTTAACTGTAACCTACAGGCTACAGATACTCACAACTTCTGGAGTTTGTGTGTGATTGTGAGAGTTTTGAAGCAACTTGGAGCCTACGCAACTCAAAAACAAGATGTTGGAGGCAAAATTTCCTCGTAGTTACCACCGTATCCTCTTCGTTGTCGCCGTTGGGACAAAAAGAGAATGATGGTTTAGATACTCTCCTTTTAACCCTCCTCTGTAGAGGGAAGCATCATATGTCTCTGTGTTCTCTTTAATTTGTATTGATGTTGTTATATGTTAAAGAAGGTTATGAATTCGGATCAATTATCTGTTGTATGCATTTTTATATTCTTCAGAAGTTTATATGTTGTGATCCTCTACTTTTTTCCCACTGCTCTGTTGTTTTTTCCTTAAATGTTTTTGCGGTCTCTTTTTTTTTTTTTTTTTTTGAATTTTTAACAACTTTCCATTAATGAAAATAAGAGTTTTACAAACTTTCGAAACGACGGGAATTGAGAACGCATGCAGCCGATTTTGCAAGCAAATCGGCTTCCAGATTCTCCGATCTCGGCACAAATCGAAAGGAGATCGAGGTAAATAACTTTGCGAGAGATTGAATATCAAAAAGGAGACCGTAGATTTCCTTTATCTTCTCTTGCGATGTTAGGGCTTAGATTAGATCATGAGCGTCTGATTTGATTTGTAGGTGGAGGAAATCCTTCTCCAAGGCATGGATCAAGGCGGATCTGATAGCAATGGCTTCCGCCATGAGTGGAGATGAAGCAAATGGTTCCGCCAAGCTGCCTGAGTCAAGCTTGGAGCCTTCTCTGTTGGTGAAGATCCATCCCGCTCCCGCGATCGCAGTTTTCTGTTTCCAAACTCCGTCAGTGAAGCAGATCACTGTATCAGGGTGGAGAGTCCGTTGATTAGTCGATCGTGGTGTAGCTTGGTGGGGTTTCTTCTCCAAAATCTGTGCCTCTTGCCATTCACGAGCATCTTGGATTGATTTGAGATTAGTGTCTTCTGGGGTAAAGGCTCTATCTTAAAAGATGCGATAGTTTCGGGCTGTCCAAATAGTCCAACAAATCCAGGGGAATAGAGGTCCGGAGCTGATTCTGATAGGAGGTAGACAGACTAGACGTTTCAGGACGTTGATGGAGGCTTCGAAGCTGATCGATGATAGGTCGAGGTTCTTTCCAAATGGAGCTAGGGACCAGACTTTCTGAGCAAACTTACAGCGGAAGAAAAGATGCTCTGTCGTTTCGAGCTCTCCACAATGAATGCAGCAGGTATTGTCAAAATGACCTCTGTTTAGGAGATTCTCACAAGTAGGTAGTGCCTTTTGGAGGATCTTCCATAGAAACAGCTTGATTTTCAAAGAGAAATGCCCTAGCCATATATCTGCATTCCAATTGATTGATGTTTGTTGTGTTTCTGCAGGGGGATCTTTTAGAGCTCTGGAGATATGATAGCCCGTCTTTGCTGTGTATTCACCGGATTTAGATGGCAACCAGATATAAGCGTCTTGTGCTCCTCTTTGACTAGGCCGGATGCTCATGATCATTGGTAGGTGATGTGGTAAAATCTCTTCAATCTTTTCTTTGCTCCATACTGTGCCGTTGATCAAGGAAGCTACAGTTGCATCTTGTTTTGTAGATTTGGAGGGCCTAGAGGTCGTATCGGAGAGGTGTGTGATAGCCATGAATCATTCCACAGAGTAGTCTGTCCATTTCCGATTGCCTTCTCAAGTTGTTCCACCAAGAGGTCTCTGCCAATGAGGACTCCTCTCCAGCCATGCGAAGATGAAGTGGAGGTAGGAACGTCTAGGAAGCTATAGTCTTTACAGTATTTCCCTTGTAAGACTCGGGCTAAAAGGCATGTTGGGTTTTTCAGGATTCGCCAGCGGAGTTTAGCTAGCAATGCATCATTGAAGCTTTTTGTATATCGTGGAAGCCAAGACCTCCAGAGCTTTTAGACTTTTTCATCTTTGTCCAAGAGGTCCAACTCATCTTCTGCACACCGGGCGTTTGGTCCCACCAGAAGCGCGTGAGGGCAAATTGGATCCGTTTGCAGAGGCTAACCGGGATCTTGAAGCATGACATAGAGTAAGTAGGGATAGCTGAGAGCACACTTTTTATAAGTGTTAATTTGCCTGCAGCGGAGAGACGTTGTGAGGAATAGTTCACTGCTCGCTCGCGTATGCAGTCAACAATTAAGGGGAAGAGATCCTTTTTCTTCCGTCCAAAGCTCTCAGGTAGTCCCAAATACTTCCCCTGACCTCCTTCATTCTCAATACCAAGTGCTTGTTTCACTCTATCTTTTATATCTTGGGGTGTTTTCGATGAGAAGGATATTGATGACTTCTGGTTGTTGATTTGTTGTCCTGATGCTTCCTCATACTTCTGCAGGATCGAGGCTAAGGTGGTGCAGCATTGATGTTTTGTTTGGCAAAAGAACATCGTATCATCAGCGAACAACAGGTGATTTATCCTTGGGCTATCTCTTGCAACTTTTATCCCCGGTAGTAGACCACTAAATTGCGCGTTGTTGCAGAGGCCCGTGAGCACTTCACTACACAAGATGAAGATAAACGGAGAAAGAGGATCACCTTGTCTGATACCACGTTGAGGTAAAACGCTCCCTTTTGCTGATCCATTGATTAGGAAAGAATATGAGACCGTAGAGATGCATTGGAAAATCCAATTGATCCATTTAGCATGGAACCCCATTCTTTCTAGTACTTCAACGATGAAATTCCACTCCAGCCTATCGTAGGCTTTACTCATGTCTGTTTTAACGGCCATAGAGCAATATTTCGTAGCTTTTGAGCCCTTAAGGTAGTGGAGTGTCTCATGTGTGATTAGCACATTGTCCAAGATAGCTCGTCCGGGGACAAAGACTGTTTGGTTTTCGGAAACTATAGCTGAGAGGATAGGTTGTAGACGTTTGGTGAGGAGTTTGGAGATGATCTTATAGAACACATTGCATAGAGCTATAGGTCTATACTCCGCCACTTGCTTAGGACATTGGACCTTTGGTATAAGCCGGACATAGGTCTCGTTGATAGAATTAGGTAGATGTCCTGTGATGAAGAAGTCTCTGATTTCCGTCGTGACTCTGTTGCAGACAACTGACCAATTTGTCTGGAAACAACTTGCAGAGAATCCATCAGGTCCTGGTGCTTTATCAGGGTGGATAGCAAAGAGAGCTGCTCTGATTTCTTCGTTGGAGGGGATAGCGATAAGTCTCTCATTTGTCTCCTTTGTGATGCACGGTTTGATGGCTTGGCTCACTGTCTCTGAGCACTGTGGGGATCGCGTAATGAAGATATTTTGGAAGTAGGCACTAATAACGCGGACGAAGTCCTCTTCTTCATACACAGGTTGTCCCTCTCTTTCTTCAAGTACAGAGAACTTATTTACTGCTTTTCTCCCCCTTGTAACTGCATGGAAATAACCCGAGTTTTTGTCTCCTAGGGCAAGCCAGAGGGATCTGCTCCGTTGTTTCCAATACTCTTCCTCCTTCTTGTAGACTGCATCTAATTTCTCTGTGCTTTCCTGGATCTTAGCCGAGTCTGCTATCGGGGCACTCAAAGCATCATCCAGTTTTGCTTTCTCCTCTTCAATGATCTTCGGGCTATTGATGTGATTTTCTCGGTTCCAGCGAGAGATCGCTTTCCTGCAGTTTGCTATTCGTCTCTCCACTGTGTCATCTTCAAATTTATTCCAGGTATCTTTCACGAGCTTAGAGATTGTAGGGTTGTGCCGCATTGCTCTATCATATCTGAAGATGCTTTTCTTTTTCTTTTTTTCCGGTTGGAGCTCTGACAAGATAGGTCTGTGGTCCGATCCTTCGAAGTTGAGGTAGCGGCACCGGCTGGTTGGATAGATGTGTAGCCACATGCTATTCACCATAGCTCGGTCGAGTCGACAATGCACAAGATGCGTGTGTCTGGTACCTCTCCAAGAGAGGAAATTTCCAGAGTGTTGTAGATCAAAGAGGTCGCTTTGTGAGAGGAAGTCCCGGAAGTTTCCAAAAGAAGCTTCTGTTCTTTGCTTTCCTCCAGATTTCTCATTGTTGTCGATGATTTCATTGAAGTCGCCGGTCAAGAACCAAGGTTTATCACGGGATATCCCCAGGTTTGTGAGCTCTTCCCACACTAGGTGTCTCAATGAAAAGTCTGGTTCGCCGTAGATGAACGTAGCAAAGAAGAGATTTCCTTTATAGTTTAAGGATGTGTCTATGTAGGTTTTACATGAAGACAGGATCAAGATGGGGATTTCTTGTTTCCAGTAGAGCGCAAGGCCACCACCTCCCGTATCTGTAGGTGGGACAAACAAACGAGATGCGTAGTCGGTGAGAGGGATGAGCCTGTTATTCTCTTCATCCTTATTATTCGTCTCTATGAGGAAAATTACGTCAGGTACATGGTTTTTCACCAATTCCTTCAATCTGTGAACTGTTGAGGGATTTCCCAAACCGCAACAATTCCAGCTCAAAATTTTTAAGGAAGAGGATCTTGCAGATTGTGAAAATCCGCTTTGTCTTTCCTCGTAGCCTTACGAATTGCTGGGACCATGGTGGGAGAAGGAGGGATCACCGTTGAGGTTGATGGTGCGTGCGAGCTTTGATGTAAGGTGACTCTACTGCGTCGAGTTCCATGCCCGTGGGTAACCGGGGAAGTACGGGTGTGAATGATACGAGACAGGGGGGAGATTCTCAGGAACGGTGAGATTCTTGCTTGTTTCGTTTTCCTCTTACTTGTTCCAGCTTCATTAGCATCAGTAGGCTGAGTAGTTTTCTTTGAAGGTGGTCTGCCTCGTGGTCTTTTAGTTTGCGTCTGCAAATGAATCGGGCGTGTGTCTGCTGTAGCTGTCTCTGCACCTTCCTGCGGGATGGTCCCAAGCCGGTCTCCCGTGGTAACGTTCCAGGGCTGGGGGCTCTGTGCCTCGAACATTGCCCGTGCCGTGTTCACCATTAGACCCTGAGCTTCACTCTCGAGGACTCGTTGTATCCGTGCTGCTCTTTCGATGGGGTCGTCAACATTGGTGTACTGCACCGTTACATCTTGGAGGGAGGACATGATTTCATCTTCAGATCTGACTCTTTGGAGGGGGATGAATTCTTCTATCTCTAGATTCCTTCCCACTAGAGGTCCCAGTTGGTTAGTTGTAGAGATGTCTTCCGGTTGATCTAGTAGCGTCGGGGGTTTCTCTCTCCAGATCTGACGAGGCGGTGTCCTGAGTGGGTTCGTTCTTCGTGTTTCTCCTTGCCCACCTCGATTTGGCTCAGTGTGGGTACTACCGTGCGCATACTGGTGGACAGTAGGGGGGTCTCGTTGCAGCGTTGGGTGTGGTGGGGATAGCCTAGGACGCTGATGATAGAGAGGTTGTCCTTTGCCCCGGGTCCTAAGTTGGTCAAAGCCATTCTCGGCTCTCTTATAAGACGGTCTTTCCCCAAACGGTCTCCCATGTCTGTCTTGACGTAGATTGAACGGACGTTGGTGGTTTGTCGGGTTTGCTTTTATCGGAGAAAATCTGCCTCTTTCCGTCTGTCTTGTTGGGGGGTCACGTAGGTCTAGCGTTTGAGGCTTAACTGGGCACAGATCTTCCTCGTGGCTTAAGCTGAAACAGAGGGAGCAGTGCTTTCCGAGATTCTCGTACTCAAAGGTAACGATGGCTTCTTGTCCCCCTTCAAATTCTATAACTGCGTCTTTTGAAAGTGGTTGTAGGCCGTTGACTTCCACTTTGATTTTTGCAGTCATTTTTGTGAGAATCTGTTCCTTGTACTCTCCTAGCTCATGTCCGATGTTACAGAGCATTTCCTTCTTCCAGTAGTGGAGAGGCAGACCTTTGAGCTGGATTCAGAACGGGATCTGAGATGGGAAGGTCGAGGAGATGATTGGTTCCCATTTTTGGAGGATGAGCATCCATCTTGCGTACTGATATGGTCTGTTGTTGAGGACTTTTTGCAGGTCTTCGTCGTAGTCGAACCGGAACTGGAAGCAGTGGTTGCCTATGTCCGAAACCACCGCTCTCCCTCGTAGTTCCCAGCGGCTAGAGATGTAGGGAATCATCGTCCACATTCTCTGTTCCTGCGGATTTGTGAGTCTTCCTATGAGTGTAAGCGAGTTTTGGCGGACAAGATCGGATGTGTCCATCTCCGGAGCTCTTATTCGTCTTCTCGGTGGTTGAGCTGTGGGTATGTCTAGAGCTTTTCCTTTCTCCGCGTACGAAAAACGTCTCACCATGGTGGTCAGGTTGTCGTCGGAGGAACGCAGAATTTAGCAGTAACGAAAACTGGGGGTGAAACGATGACTAGTGACCAGCGAGCGTTGAGAGGCTTTAGATCGAAGAGGTTGAACGAGGCGAAGCTGAGAGGATGAAGGATTTCCAGGAGGAGGAGGAGGAGCAGAGGACTTACCGGCGGTGCTTTGAGCAGACCCTTCGGGGGTGGACCCCGGGAACAAAGAATCAGGAGCGGTTGAAATTTGAAAAAACTTTCCAAAAGGAGAAAGATACGCTGGGTAAACGGAGGAGACTAAGACAGGTCAAACCGGGTAAAGATCGCTATCGAAACTCGTGTCTGGGAGAAAAACTTTTGATTTTTGATTTCACTATACTCCAAAAATACTATCACTAGTTTATCTGCGGTCTCTTTTTAATTTATATTTTTTTCATTCAATTTGTACATTTTCGTTACATATCTGGGTTGTATTTATCTAAATCTTTGTTTCTTGGTGTTCTGAAGCAGTTGAGCTTTTATGTATGGCTTGTTTGTGAGAAGGCCTTATTAATTGTTTGCCTCTCATTTGATGAAATTAAGTGTCTGGTAGGTTTAGGGGACATTTGCTAGAATACTGGGAAATCCTTAATGAATGCCAAGTTTTGACATCATTTTAGCATGTACCGATGTACGTGATGCTTGATCAATTGCATGCGGCTATTGGTTATGTGCTCAGGCTCTGGGTCTGTCTGTTGTATTCGAAGCAGGTGATATATGACCGAATACTTTGTAGTATCTCACTGTAAGTCATATTGGGACTTTTTAACTATTTCGAATATTTTTTCTCAGAATTTGTGTCATGCGTTTTAGAAAACGACATTGTCTTTGTGTTGTTGTGCAGCCTTGTTGCTGTCAGCCCCACACATCTTGACTTTAGAGCGAACTGAAGTCTTTGTATCGGAGAAAAATATGCCAAAGTTGATGTTTAAGAACCACTCAAATGATGAAGTGAAATACACGTTAGTTCATTTTATTAGTATTATTTTATACGTATAACTTGGATTGGAATTGCATTAGTTTGAAATTTCCCATCTATGTTCAAAATTTACAAAAAAACAAATTTAGCTTAACGACAGACACATTGGATACGTAATGGAATAGAGAAGTTTGTAGAGTTTAGTGCTTTGCAAAATGACACTGCAGATTAAAGAGAAATATACCAAACTTCGTATCTTTTGTAACAGTTTGCCTTTGTTGTTAACTGCTAAAGACGTTTTTAATCTTAATTATTAACTATATTGAGATTTCCTGTTTTTATCACGTACATTTTTATAACAATTTTTGTCACTAGCGTTGGAATCCAAACAAGACTAATACCAGTTACGCTTTGTATCTATTCCAAACAAGCCTATAATACCCTATTTTTTGTTACTACCCTTGTTTTTTTTTCTTTTGGTATTTCGGTCAGGCAAAGCATAGAGCTTTGAACTCTATTCTTATAATGGGTCTGGAATAACAACACAATTCTCCTTAATATCAAAATATTTTCCTTACCAAGAATGCTTGTCATCTTTGGATTTATAGGAAATGAATCGATTTTAAAACAGGAAAAAACGGGAAAACACCAAGTTTACTAGGATCACATTTGAGCCAATTCTTTTTTCAAACTAATAAGATCTTGGAAGCTCCTTGCCAGCCAAGAAAGATCTTAATATAATTAGGGCACTCTGCGGTCGGAACAAAGGCACCTCGTGGCCCGCTCCTCTTACCGTGACAAAGGTAAGCCCCTCATATACTTCTGTTCTTCCTCCTACCTATCACCACCATAAACATTATTAACTGACTCTGCATTATAAGCATATGCTACAGAAATATGTGTGTGTGTGTGCGTGATGAAGAGACCTGGTTGCCGGAGTACCAAGGGTACCAGCGAGTCTTCACCGGAAGATTGAGTTTGCTGAGGGAAAACCGAGTCGCTGTCACTGGTATAATTGAGTCTGTATCACCGCTGCATCACAATTTGGTTGAAATATGTGTCTTAATATGACCAAAATACTTCTTAGTGTTGTGATCTTGGAATAATTTCAATATACTGAATTCTTTTGTTGTTGCTAAGGATATATACTGAAAAACAGTGTACCTAAAGACCCATATCCTCAGACCAGCCTCCATGAGTTCTTTGTATAACGGCAACATCGAATTGTCAGAGACTCTCCAGTTCCAATTGTTAAACACATAGTCACTGCAGAATTAGGGAATAACAAAAAATATATGTTATTTGAGGTGCAATTCAATGACGTTTCCAATTTAATGAAGAAAAAAAAATATGTTATTTCAGTATACATGACTAAAAGAATCACTAAGCAGTAAGTGTGATTAATTTGTTGAATTATTAAGGTTCAAGTGAAATTCAGTAGTGAGGGTTAAAGTAAAATATTTTAGGCTTGATTTGGTTCGTTACATTAGTTCAGTGTCCTTGATGAGCAGTATAATGTTAGTTAGGGTTATACGGTACCTGCAAGCAGTCCATTTATAAGGAATAGCGGTGCGGTTCGCATGCATGGCTCGTTGTACCTCGGGACGGTTATAATAAATCTCGGCATAGCTCTCAGTACAAGGGTCGTACTCTGCTAAAACCTGTCTAGATATGACCGTTTTGTGCATTTCCTTCGTGCGTACGCACTTGGGTGTGTAGATGCTGTACTGATCAATGTCGCCAAAGTCAGCCGCAGCATTGTAAATGGCGGATTCACACCCTTCAGAGAATCTCTCTGCTGTGAAATTACAGTTTTTGAGGATCAAATTGTAGGAAGTGTCTGAGATCATCGCGTGAGACCACCAATACGTTATGGTCCCTAGTTTGTCGTTGCTTTTGTCCGTCTCTGGATTTCCAACCTTGAAGGAGAGAGATTAGGGTCAAGAATTTGTGTTTTTGTTGATACGGAGTGTTTGGAGTAATAGTTTTACAAATGTGATAAGTAAACTTCATAGTTTAATTACCATAAATCCTTTGAGATTGATGATGGGTTTGTTGTTCAAGGCTTCGTTGTAGTCATGAATCTTTTTGGCAAGCTGAGGAGCATAATGCCCTGTAATATGGATATTAAAATTAAAAAAACAAAATTGAAAAGGTTGGTTAACTAAAAGACCACTAAACTAAGATAATTTTACCGGCGTAGCTTTCACCAGCAATGTAGAAATCTCTGTATTGGTACTGTGGAA